GGGACACTCGCTAGACAAGGGAAATGGTGCAAGGAAAATCAGGAGGTGGGAAAGAAAGCACAAGACACTTCCAAGTCATGGTCTGGGTGTGTACATAAGCTTGTCTCGATAGGGGAGGGTTGTTCAGTTGTTTCAGTCATTCACTAATGACTTCTTGACCCCATTTGGAGTTTTCTCAGCAAAGATACTGAATAGGTTTGCCGTTTCCTTCTCCAGCTTATTTTACAGATGAGGAAACCGAGGCAAGCAGGGTTAAGTGACTTGCCCAGGGTCATACAGCTAGGAAATGTTTGAGACCAGATTTAAACACCAGAAGAAAAATGAGTCTTGGGGCCGCTAGGTGGTACAGTGGATAGAGCAGCGGCCCTGGATTCAGGAGGATCTGAGTTCAAATTCAACTTCAGACACATAACACTTGCTAGCTGTGTGACCCTGGGCAAGTCACTTAACCCCATTGCCTAGCAAAAAAAAAAAAAAAAGGAAAGAAAAATGAGTCTTCCTGTCTCTAGGCCTGGCTCTCTATCCACTGTGCCACCCAGCTGCCCCCCAATAAGTGTGTACACATAGTCTTTTGTTAATTTTTTTTAACATTTTGCTTATCACATATGTGATTTTGGGCAAGTCATTTGCCCTAGCCCTCCCAGGGCCTCCTCTATAAAATGAGGGGGTCTGATGAGAGCGCCTCTGAGGTCCCATACAGTTAAGCACATATGTATCAAGGATGACTTTGTGTAGCACTATTTGTACATGTGGCTGGATCCATGGTCTATGCTACCCTGACTGGATAAAGGCTTCACACGACGGCATAACTCAAACTCTCTTGGACCATTTTAAAACTCACAAAACTTGTCACTCACAACTGCCCAAGGAAACTCATCAAACTGGCCAAGGTGACAAAAAGGAAAATGACACTTGCTGGAGGGGCTGCAGGAAAACAGGCATCTCAAGTGCCGTCAGTGGAGCCGTGGATTGTTCTAACCATTCTGGAAAGCAATTTGGAGCCATGCCCCCCAAACACATCAGAGAGGAAGCAGACCTGCATGCACACCAATATTTTTAGCTGCTCTCTTTGCAGTGGCAAAGAATTGGAAGTTAAGGGGTGCGGATCTGTTGGGGAATGACCTAGGAATGTGATGGAATATTGGAGTGCTGTAAGAAATGGGAAAACTGACAGAGTGAGCTCACATCCTGACTCTGGCATTTGTTAGCTGGGTAACCTTGGGCATGGCACCTAATCTCCCTTGGGACTCAGTTTTCTCAGCTTACAAATAGAGAGGCTGTATTTTGCTGGTCCTTGCCAGTTCTACATCGTATGAAAACTAGGAAAGACAGTGGAGGTCACGTTCTCTTCTCCACAGGGCCTTGCTTTCCCTCATGTTTACCCAGATGTTCTGATTTTTACAAGCCACAGAGAGCCTGGGGTGCCCTGGGTGAATTGGGCAGAAGCTGAGAATCTGGATCAGAAGGGGCCTCAAAGGCCTTCCAGGTGGAGCCTCTCAGCCCACTTGGGGCAGGATGTAAAGTTTTGTGCTTGGAGGACCTTGGGAGAGGTTCTCAGCAAGAGAGGTGGGCAGCTGGCACCAATAAAGAGAGACTCTGAACATACTGACCCCCTCCCTCCACCTTCTGCTCCCATATTTGCCGGGGAGGGAGAAGGGATGAGGCAGAAGTGGAGAGAATCCCGCTGTGCCCTGCGTGATGCTGGCCAGAATCCGAGGGTTTGTATCTGCCAGGGGCTTTGGGAACACAACCTAGAACCTCAAAGCCAGGATGAGTCCAGAGATCACCTGGTTCCACTGCCCTCCACCACAGAGTAGAATCCCACTTCCACTTTTCCAGGAGTGGGAAGAGGAAAGAACTCCAAGTGCGCTGGGCACTGAGGTATGAGGGAGGCAGGGTAGGAGAGGTTAGGAAAGGTTAAGCATCTCCGGCCCTCCCAGGGACTAGACTAGATCCACATCAGGGCAGGAATACCACCTCCGGGGCTGTAAGCAGGCTGTGTGCGTACGGGGAGATGGGGGGGGGTCTGTTGCGCAGTCATGCCAACGGCTCCCTCCTCCTGGGAGTTGATTCAGGCCCCGCCCAGGGAGCTAAGGCCCCCCTCCCCTTCCAGGCTGGGCTCTTTCCAATGATAGGAGATGGCCTCGGGGGCTTGGGACCACACAGAGAGATGCCCGGGCGCCCCTAGCTCCTGCGGCCGTGACTGCCTCCGGCTGCTTTGCGCTCTCGGCCTCAACCAGCCCCGAACCGGAGGAGGGCTAGGACCCCCACGTGCGCCACGTATGGAGCCCGCCCTAGTGCCCTACGCGGCCCTACAGCCGGTCCCGGGGTCCAGGCGACTGTTCCTACTGGCCCAAGCCCAAGTACTGGGTCGCTTGCTCCGTTTTCTTGGCTGCTTCAGAGCCAGAGGCCTCGGGGTCATCCCGGGGTCCGGGCTGGGCACGCTGCGCAGCGAGCTGGCCGAGGCAGCTGCGCGCTACCGACGCAAGCTGGCACAGGAGGCGGCGGCTCTGGAGGTGCCCGAAATGCCCGGGAATGGGAACTGGGCGGATGACGCGTGTAGCCTCCAGAGCCAGGGGCTAGGACAGTGCCAGCTGCCGCCTCTCGTCGTTTTGGGTGTCCCCGGGGCCCATCTTCTGTCCGCTGCAGTGTGACGGCTCTTTTCGTGGCTGCGTGACCCCGGCATAGCTTGCCACCCTGCCCAGGCCACCCACATCCAGCTGCTCAGCTGTCATTGCTGGTGGCTGCCCGCCGTCCGGACGGCGCGGGGGGTCGGCTGCAAAAAGCCGGGGTGTCCCCACCCCGCTGCCGAGGCCACAGACTCGGTGTCTCCCAGGACCTGAGCTTCCATTCCTGGTATCTCCAACACCAAGGCCCCCCGTTTAACTTGGTTAAAATCCCCAGGATCTCAGCTCCACAGCCCTGAGCTTTGCAGACCTTGAGCTGGAGCAAAGCAAAGGGGCTCCACCTTTCTAGTTCACTGCCGGTCCTCTCATCCCAGGGTCATGTCTTGGGACTGGGATGGAACAGGGAGCTCTTAGCCGGTGTCTCAGGCACCCTGGCCAGTTCTCGTGCCTAGGCCCATACCAGAGGGAGGTAAAAGGTCTCTGGGGCTGTCAGCTGCTCTTTGTCCTGGGCCAGGTGGGATGCCAGGGCAGCCCCCAACTCTGGGAAAAGGGCCTTGACTGGCCACTTATGGCTTCTGCCAACCTTGGGGGTGTGGGCTCCCGCCCCCAAAACTCAGCCCTGTCCTAAGTCTCCCTACTCCCCACCTCCAGGGAGTTTCTGTCCCATCCCCCTTCCTTTCCAGAAGCTGTACCACGTGAACATCCAATAAGTGACAGAGGCCAGTCCCGACTGGGCATTATCCCGTAGGGAGCTGACCCATGACACCCCGGAATCCGCTTCTTCCTGGGAAACAGGGGCTGGTTCTGGAGAAGGGTGAATGGGGGCACCAGCCTGTGGTTGGGCCAAACGATTCCCAGTCTCTCCCCAGACCTCATTCCCCATGCCTGACATTCCACCATTAAGAATTAACTTGTCTAGGAACCTTTTCCAATGGAATCTCCTCCAAACCCCTACCTTGTAGTCCTACCCTGCACCCTTCTGAGGCTCCCCTCCCTAACCCTAAAGTGGACCTTCACCTACCTCACCCTTTTACTCTAGGAACTAGCCTCAACATGGAGTCAGAACTGGGTTCAAATCCTATCTCAGCCACTTATTGTGTGACCCTGGCCTAGTCACTCTGAAACTCAGTTTAGGGTAAATACCTGTCATGGGCTTGAGGTGGGGGGGGGGAAAGAGGATGGGAGGGGTGTGAGGTTTCAAAGAGATAATGTAAAACACTTTACATACCTCAGTGTATGGGCTATTATTATTATGAATAAATTGCCTTGTGGGCCATGAGAAGCTGGGGCATCCTAAAGCTGTCATGGGGGACACGTGTCCTGTGTCAGATGGAGGGGCAGAACTAACCCTCCCCAGTGCCAGGCCTGGGGAGTGGACGCAGGCAGGGTTTGCTCACCTATGTGAGGTGAAATCAACCCCCCCACCCACCCCCACCCACCAGCCAATTAAGCAGCTGCTCCAGCCTCGGGGTGAGGGCATCCCACCCAGAATGGAGAGTTACCTAGTCACCCCCTCTCACCTGACAGATGAGGAAACTGAGACTCAGAGAGGAAGCCAACTCTCAGCCCTGCCACTCAGTGGGGTTATCTGTAAAACGAGGGGCTTGGACTAAAAACCTCTACCTTTAAATCTATGTTCAAGGTCAGAGTAGGGCCTGGGATTCGAACCCAGGTTCTCTGGCCTGAAATCCACTGTATGATGCTGCTTGCTTCAGCTCCTGAGGAGGGGCAGAGGCAGCCTTCTCAAGGCTGGTGCCCCAGCCTGGGTCTGTTTCAATCAAGGTTCCAAAGCCCCCTGGCAGGTAGGCCCAGGGCGGGGAGACAGAAGCCAAGGGGCAAAGGTGGAAAGGAGGATGTTCTGGTAACGTCTTCTCTCTGTCTGGTCTGGAGGGATGGCCCTGGGCACCATGTCCTCCCTCTCCCAGAGGCAGAAAAGCACAAAGAGGAAGGGGTGGACAGGATCACCCCACCCCCTCAGGACAGCCTGGGTGCTTATGGAGGACCTTGTCTCAGAAGGACCACCTAGACTCCCCTCCTTTCCCTCCTAGGTCCTGTCCTTTGGAACACTGACCTGGTAAGGGGCTAGGGGGATTTTTCTCCCCTTATGGTTCCCTGGCTCGTACCATCAGGCTAGAAGGCAGGGCCCAGGTGTGGGAAGTGTCAGTCCGCATCTGGGAGGGGAGAGGAAAGGGGCCACGTGCTGTCCCTAAGCATCCATGAGAAATCTAGCGTGGGAAGGGGCTTCAGAAGTCATTTAGACCCATGAGAAATACTGTTTCTCCTGGATAACATACCCCTAAAGGGTGGTCATCTTCCTTTTGGGTGGAATATGTCCATCCAGGGACAGGAATTCACTACCAAGAGACAATCCACTCCATTTCTGAACAGTTCTAATTGTTAGCCATGACCCCAGTGGGTGTTTTTCAAGACACAGGAAACAGAAAATGCAAAAAGTCAGATATTCAATGCCAGGCACTTGGTTTGAGACACAACACAGGGCATAATGAGCCGGGCTCTGGGCTGGCTGGTACCCTGGCTCCCCCACCCTCCAGAAGGAGGCTCAGGGCTCTCTGGCTCCCCAGCATCAGCCCCGTCCATCCCCTGGCTTCCCAGGAAGGCCCTGAGCAGTCGGTCATGGGATGGCCCTATGCTGCTTTCCCACCTCCACAAAAGTCTTCACACAGCGGTCAATGTCTTCCTTGCTATGAACGGCCGAGATCTGAACTCGGATCCTGGCTTTTCCTTTGGGTACCACGGGGTAGCTGAAGCCGATGACGTAGATCCCTGGTGGAAATCCCTGAATCTCAAAGCTCTGAGCTGCTTTCCCTCAGCCACTAATTTTACAGACTAGGACATTGAGGCCCAGAGAGGTAGGGACTTCCTGAAGGTCCCTCTTTTGCTGAGGCCCCTCCCCTACTTGAACAGGGCCAAGGGAGGCAAGGGGTGGCAGGACAGCTTATGTTAGTTGGGGCAGAAGAACCAGTCCCCTCATTCTGAGAGGGAAGAGGGAGAATGGAGGGCATTAGTTTCCTCTGCAGTCCTCTTTGCCTGGTCCTAAGACAACAGACTGCATGGTCTTACTCATATTCTCTCTTTGGATGTAATCTCTGTAGTCTAATTCACACATGGGGAAACTGAGGTCTGGGCTGAGTGTAGAGGGAGGGAGGCCTGGGGTTTGGGCCAAAGCCAAGCAGTCCCTGGGTTACCTCTCTTCAGCATGTCTTCAGCCATGACTGATGCCAGTCGGGCATCTCCGAGCATCACAGGACAGATGGGGTGCTCCATGCCGGAGATGGTGAAGCCAGCAGCCTCCATTTTGCTACGAAACCTGCCGCCAGGGAGGGAGAGATGCCAGGTAGGCGTGGCCCGAGCCCAGGCCTCAGAAGCTCAGGAGGGGAAGAGTTAGGCATAGGGATACGCTTGCTAGAACTGGGTCTTTGGCTCAGGCTGCAGGAGGGACAAGGAGGTAGGAAGGGACTGGGGAGGGATAAAGATGGTTCACAACTGGCAGGGATGTCTAACATGTTGAAAGATAGAGGAAGTTAGTAAGGACTAAGGTAAAAGTCTAAAATTGGCCTCGAAAACCCAAACTGCAAGGACAAGATGAGGGGAGTTGGAACCATTCAACAGGTCCTGTAAAAAAGGCCTAGGGGTCTTAGTGGACTGCAAGCTCCCTACAAGTGGACAGTGGGATCTGGCATCCCAATGAGCTAATGCCAATGAGCACAGACAGCCCCAGTGCCCTTGACCTTGGTCGAACTCCCTTGGAGCTATGGATCTGTTCTGGAGGCTACATTTTGGACATTGCAACTGTGAGGGCTTCCAGAGGAAGGTGGTGAAGGGCCTGGAGCAGGGCTTATATAATAATCCTTAACGAAAGGATTTGTTCTGCAAAACTTGGACTCAGTCAGAGGGCTGCCCTTGATGACCTAGAGGGCCTCGAGGCTCTAGAAGGATAAATGGAAGGAGCCAGTTTGTTTAGTCTGGTAAACCTGAGTGTTTGAAGGGCTGCCGTGTGGAGGAGGCTTGGGCTTGGGTCCAGGAAACAGAACCAGAAGGAGCAGCGGGGAGGGAGGTGAAAGAGAAGGTGACCACACTTTGGAGAGCTGGCCCAAAGTGGAGTAGGCTGCCTTGGGAGGCGGGGGACTCCCCTGATCCAAGGCCTTCAACAGCAGGGCAGTCACTCCTGGGTGAGCCCACTTCAGACAGTGGAAGAGAGTCCTGGGCTCCCTTCCAGCTCAGAGACCATGAGTGTGGAGACGGAACAGCACGGCCGGAGCAAGAAATGATGGAGGTGTTGAGAGACTGATACACAGACCCGGGGTGGGGTGGACAGCGTCCCTCAAAGTTGCCTGGGAGACACAGGCAGGACAGGAGGGGAGTGGGGATGCTGGGAGAGGGGGCTTGGGGCCTGAATCAAGGCCAGGACTCCCTCCCTTGCTAGCCTTCCCCTCGCTTCCCCAGTACCCGGCCTCACCGTCGGGTCTTGGCAGCCATGGATTGGGCAATGGCATTGCTCTCTATGAGAAGGTCCAAGGCTTTGGACGCACACCCCACTACGGCAGGGGGGAGGCTGTTGGAGAAGAGGTAGGGCCGGGCCCGCTGCCGGAGAAGAGAGATGAGATCCCGAGGCCCTGTTGTGTAGCCCCCTGGGAGAAGAGGACCAGGTTACAGGCAGACACCATCCCAAGCTTCCCCAATTCCCACCACGTCCACCCAAGCCATAGCCCAAGGGCCTCCCCACCTGAGAGACTTTCGGGGAGAGGTGAACAAGGGACGGGGCTGGTTCTGCTTAGGCTCTGAGGGCAGAATATGAGCTATACAGGTGGAGCTGAGCAAAGGCAGATCGACTGTATCTGGAAGGAGTGAATTCTCCAGCAGGCTTCAAGAAGATGCTGAATGATCGATCACTCATCAGGCAGGTTTCATTCAATGTACTTAAATCTCCAGCCTCGCACACGGTAGGCACTTAACAAATGTTTGTGCTTTGACTGATGTTGTAGAGAATTCTAGGTAAAGTGCCCTTGAGGTCCTTCTCAACTCTAGCCCTCGGTCTGGGGAGGATAGAAGAAAGAAGGGGAGGAGGCTCCCTTCTGCCCTCAGAGCCAGGATCCCAGGCTGTGGCCAGGGGAGGGGGTGAGGAAAAGGGACATCCAGACAACCTGAAGCACCCCCCAAGGCTTTTCCTAGGGTGGAGTTGATGATGGTGACTTGGTCCATTACTCCGAGCAGCTCATCAGTGCCTCTGCAAGGGAATGGTGCTTACTCATTACCTGCCCTAGGGTATGGGACCCCTTCCCTCACTCCCACATCCTTCTCCTTCCTGAGAAAGCTGGGTTTGCTGGGGCGAGGGGGGGTGCGGGGAGGGGCACAGAGAGACCTTCCAGACACATTCTTCCTACCAAAGTCCATCACTTTCCACCAGTCCTCTGCCCCAGCCCACTTGTCTGAGCCCCTGGTAGGTAGGGACACCTACTCTGACCATTGCATCCTCTCAGCTACCTAAGAAGCACACACATTTCTACTACTACCGTCACCACCACTTCTGCCACCTCAAGATCCCTGCAGGCCCCCAGGGAACCCAGGCCACAAAGCCACACCAAAGTAGAGACTGAAGGGGACTCTGGGCTCCAGCCCAGGTCTGCCACTAACAAGCCTGTGTGCAATCTGGGAAGTCAGTGTACTTCTCTGGGCCCAAGTTTCCACTAAGGCCCCTTAACTTCTGGAATTCTGTGGGTCTGTGCTCTTCCAGCTGCCCCTGTGCCTGGGATGAGTGAGTGTTCAGGGGGCACCAAGCATGCCAGGCTCGGACCTGCAACCAGGGGCTGGGGCTCGCCCCGAGGAAGGAGGAGGGCTAATCTGTGTTGGAAGACCAGGGGACCTGAGGAGAAAGCCTCAGACTGGAAGGTCCTCAACTCCTGCCAGCCTATCCAGGCTTGCGCTCTGCCTCAGTTTCCCCCTCAGAAGGCTGGACTCAGAAGCCCCACTGGGGCTATGGGAAAGGGAAGGTCAGATTTTACAGCCAAAAGCCTGGGCCCAGGCTGAGACTGTGGGGAAGGATCACTGCCTCTCACCGGCCAGTTGGTCCGAGGAAGCCAGTGGCATGACATTCGTCTATGAAGACCACGGCTTTGTATTTCTGAGCCAGCTGGCAGATCTCCCGAAGTGGGGCAATGTCACCGTCCATGGAAAAGGCCCCATCTGTGGCCACCAGCCTCAGCCGATGTTTCTGCAGGGGGACAAGGGCAGGGGCTGGGCTTGGGAAGCGTCCACACTTCTGCTCCCAGCTCCCCTTGTGAACCTGGGCATGAATCTCAGGGCCGGGAGTCACGGAGCAAAGAGTAACAGGCAACGTGTGTAAGTGCCGAAGAGGAGGGAGGCTGGTCAGGCAGCGAGAGCTGAGTAAGCACTGAACCCCAAACAGGCCAGGGAAGGCCTCCAGCACCCTGGGAGGGATTCTCCACGGAGGAAACACCGAGGCCCATGAGCCAGCATCACCCAGGGGGAGAGCAGAGGGTGAGCTGCCTGCCTGGAGGGCTTCTGGGCCCCCACCCATAGGGTCAGAGACTGGACACAGACAAAGGAAGCAGCAGATCCCCGATGTTTCAGCCACATGACCAAGGGCTTGAGTGGACTCTGCACCTCCAAGCAGCAGGAGGTCCCTGGTCAGGAAGTCTTATTTCTGAGGAGCTGGGAGGTAAACACTGGGCAAAGTGTTGGACTGAAGACTCAGAAGGCATCTGGGCTGAAATTCTGGCTTGAAAACCAGCTGTGTGAGCTGCCCTCCTTCCTTCCCTTCATTTTTCCTTCCCTCCCTCCCTCCCTGCCCTTTCTTCTTTCTTCCTTTTCTTTCCTTCTCCCTCCCTACTCCTCTTTCCCTTCCTCCCTTCACTTCCTCCTTCCCTTCCCCCTTCCCTTTTTCCCTTTCCTTTTTTTCTTCCTTCCTTCCCTTCCTTCCTCTCTCCCTCTATAAATTGAGGATAACAAGACATGTGCTACCTTATCTCATGAGGCTGTTGTGAGAAAAGGCCTTTGGGAATCTGAAGCTATGATGCTGAACCAGGAGGAAATGAGTGTCCTCATCCTGTTACCTGAGCATCCTGCAGCTTGGCCTCCAGGTCCCCCATGTCCAGGTGGCGATAGCGGTACTTGTTGGCCTTACAGAGGCGGATGCCGTCGATGATGGAGGCATGGTTGAGCTCATCAGACAGCACTGCATCCTCTGGGGTCAGCAAGGCCTGTGGGGAGCAGTTGGGGCTAGTGGAGACCACCAATATGCCCACCCTGCCCGGCCCCGGGCTGCGCCAACAACTCTGGGCCATCTCAGCCTGGCTGGGGTCCTTCCCTTGCTCCGTGCCCCCTGCCTCTGAACCCAAGACACGGTCTGATACAGCCTTGAGAACAGATAGGCTGATGTCCTTGCAGCCCCCTCCACAGACCCCCGGCTTTTCTGAAAGCTGCATCCCCATGAGCTCATTGAATCTTAGAGGAAGCATCTTTTCCTCTCCTCCTCAATGCTGGGGATTTTTAGTGACACGTCCATGGTCACACAGCTCCTAACTTGCAGAAGTGGGATCTGACCCCAAGGCCATGACATCAGACTGCCTCCCACGTCATGCTAGAGATTGTTCTTGTGTGCATGTTTGGACATTTTCCTCTTATTTTTACTAATGTCTTTTGCTTTCTCTCTGCTGTCACTTGTGGGGACCCAAGGCCTCTGATCAAGAACCTTGTCACTTATTTCCATATCTATATTTTTTTAAATCTCATTTATACTGATATTTTTTATATCACATTTAGGAGAGAAGGAAATAAGCATTTATTAAACACCTACTACATACCAGATACTATGCTGAGAGCTTTACAAACATGATCTCCTTTGATCCTTACCACCCTGGGAGTAGGTAGCGGCTATTAATGATGTCCATTTTACAGATGAGGAAACTGAGACTGACAGGGTAATCTTTTAGAAGAATTCTCTCTCCTTTTCTCCACTCTCATTTTGCAGAGGAGGAAACTAAGGCATACAGAGGTTAAATGACTTGCCTAGGGTCAAACAGTGTAGGGTAGGTTCCGAACCCAGGTCTTCTGACCCCAGGATCAGTGTTCTTTTCCCTGCACAGATCAGTTTCTTCCCATTCGCTGACCTCCTCTCAGTGTCCAGGGTCCATCTCACTGGCCTCTGGCATTCTAAGATGTTCTAGGCACATGCTCAGAATCTGACTTTGTTGAAGAATTACTAAAGGCCTTGGGAGCCCCCAACAAGGCCTGCCCAGGGTTCCTAGACTCTTCTCACCTTGTGCCCTTGGTACCAGGCAGGTCTCAGCCACTGAGGGCCCTAAGGCCAGCCAGGCCAAAGCTCACCTACCTCAAACAGCCCAGCGTTGGCATCAAAGCAGCTTGGATAAAGGATGGCATCCTCTCTCCGGTGGAAGTGGGCGATCTTCTCCTCCAAGGCTTTGTGGATGTTCTGTGCAGGAGAGGTAGAGATGCCAGATAAGACATGGGGGTCAGGGGAGCTGGGAGAGGGACCTCCACAACCATTCACAGCTGAGTTCAGCAGAACCGACCAGCAGGTCTAGAATGTAAGCTCCCTGAGGGCACTGGTTCACTTTTGTCTCTGTCCGTGCAGTGCCTGGCATCCAAGAGGCACTTATTATAGGCTCATTAACTAGAACTAAATTGGCCAGGATGCAAATGTCAGGGACCCTAACCCTAACCCTAACCTGCAGCTCCTGCTGCCCTCCCCAGTGCCACATCTTCCTCTCAGGGGCTCACCGATGCCCTATGCTCTCCTCCAAGAGAAAGACCCTTGATCATCTTCACTCTCAAGGGTCACAGACTCCCCGTTCCCTGGGGAAGCCTACAGGAAGCAAGGATTGCATTTGGAAATCAAGGCTTGGGGTCACAGAGCCACAGAGCTAGAGAATGACGGCTGGAGCTGGGAGATACTTGGAGCTACCCCGAGAGGTGCCTAACTTCTTCCATAAAGCCAAAGAATGGTGGCGCTAGGATGGCCTTCTTGGAACACGAACATCAGAGGCGGGAGGGAGCTTAGAACAGGGAATGTCAGAGGCGGGAGGGAGCTTAGAACAGGGAATATCAGAGCCGGGAGGGAGCTTAGAACAGGGAATATCAGAGCTGGGAGGGAGCTTAGAACAGGGAAGATCAGAGCGAGGAGGGAGCTTAGAACAGGGAAGATCAGAGCCGGGAGGGAGCTTTAGAACAGGGAATATCAGAGCCGGGAGGGAGCTTAGAACAGGGAATATCAGAGGCAGGAGGGAGCTTAGAACAGGGAATGTCAGAGGCGGGAGGGAGCTTAGAACAGGGAATGTCAGAGCCGGGAGGGAGCTTAGAACAGGGAATGTCAGAGCCGGGAGGGAGCTTAGAACAGGGAATGTCAGAGCCGGGAGGGAGCTTAGAACAGGGAATGTCAGAGCCGGGAGGGAGCTTAGAACAGGGAATGTCAGAGGCGGGAGGGAGCTTAGAACAGGGAATATCAGAGCCGGGAGGGAGCTTTAGAACAGGGAATGTCAGAGCCGGGAGGGAGCTTAGAACAGGGAATATCAGAGGCAGGAGGGAGCTTAGAACAGGGAATATCAGAGCCGGGAGGGAGCTTAGAACAGGGAATGTGTGTGTGTTTCAGGGGTCTGTTCCTGGCTGCTCACTTGGATCTGCATGGGAGGGGCTCTGGGTTTGGAGTTGATAGAAAATTGCTAATATAATTGTTCATATAATGACAGAAATCGTTAATACCAAATGTAACAGGGCCTCTCACTCCCTTAAAGATCCTTGTAACGTCAGAATTTCTGTACATTCCTACCCTTAAGATCTTTAGATTAGGTTGAACTTGACCACACCCCAAAATCTTGCCTTGTGGGGAGCCCAGCTGGATCTCAGCTTCTATCCCCGCCCCCTTCCATTGGAAGTCATGGTGATGAGGGTGGAATCTGAACCCCCAAAAGGGAAAGCCCTGGACTTTCCCATGTGGCCCAGGTCCCCGGTGTTCACCTGGGGCAGTCAGCCCTTCCCAGTGAATTAACTACCCTTTCATGGTCTGCACCAGGCCGGCCCTAGACCTCCACTGCTTGATCTTATCTAGACCCTAGTCTCCCTGGGCCACGTGGTCCAGGTCCCTCCTTCCTCGCCACTCCCCTGCAGATCCTTCCCTAGAGCTCCATCAAGGTGCTCAGACTCAATCTAGCCCACTGGTCACAAGTGTTCAGATTCCTTAAGAGTCTGGCCAATATGGCGAATCTTTAATAAATCTTGTCTTTGATTGAAAGAAGGTGTGGGTTGGATTCATTTCGGCAGGACCCTGCGTCACTATTTCAGGATCCCAGCGCACCTAAACCTCAGGGCCAGTCCTAGTGGTAAGCAAGGGATTGATCAATCCACAGATAGACAGACAGAGACAGAAATCTTTAAAAATGTAAAGAGGGCCAGTTAATCTCTTAGGAAAGCTGCTTTAGATAAAATCAGCTTGATATCACTGTTAAGGGAGCCCTGGGCCTGGAGTCAAGAAGTCCTGAGTTCAAATCCAGCCCCAGTGTGACTCAGTTTCCTTACCTGTAAAAAGGGGATAATATTAGTACCTTCCTCTGAGGGTTGTAGTGATCATCAAATGAGATAATTGTAAGGTGCTTAGCACAGCACTATAGCGCTTAGTAGGTACTTAATAAATGCTCCCCACCCTTCCCCTTCTCCTGATCAGTTTGAATTTCTAGAGCCCTTTCTCCATAACAATTCTGAGAAACAGGTCATGGCCACATTCTTATTCCTGTTTTACAGATGAGGGAATCAAGCCCCAGGCTCTGAGATGACCGGATTTGCCTCAGGTATCTACACCTACCAAATTTTACTCCGGGGTTCTCAGAGTCCTAGTGACCTCTAAGGTCATCTAGTCCAACACCCTCATTTTACAGATGGGGAAACTGAGGCCCAGAGAGAGGAACCACAGCACTGGATCCTTGGATTTTAGCTCTAGAATTGGAAGGTCCCACAGAGACCATCTAGTCCACTCATCACTCTTGTTATAGATGGGGAAACTGAGGCTAAGGTCACATAGGATGTAGGTAGCAAAACCAGGATTTGAACCCAGCTCTGGGGACTCCCAATCCTATGCTCTGTCCATGGGACTGCACTGCCCCTTCCCCAATCCTGGGACGTCTAACCTCAGGTCTGGGAATCGGGTTTTTTAAATTATTATAATGGGTTTCCTTCATACGCATTTACATGCATGACTTGAGAAGTCAAGGCACACAGGCTTCCCCAGAATGAAGGCCAAGGGGGGGCCCTGACCAGAGGCAAGGCTGAGAGCCCCTGCCCGGGGCCTTTTGATCCTGTAACCGGGAGGGCAGAAGAGCCTTCCCAAATTTGCTTGCCTCCACTTGGTGAGGCCACTCAGGGATCTGGCAGGAGCCCTGACCGGGGAGACCGGACACCCGGGTCCTTGTCCTGGCTCTAAAAATAACCTTTGATTAGAACGATGGCTGATCATCACTGTACCCTAAGCCTCAATTTCCTTCATCCATAAAATGAGAAGGGAAGATGGAGAAGGGAATAAGCATTTATTTCTTAATACGTGCTGGACACTGTGCTAGGCACTTTACAAATATCATCTCACTTTACAGATTGGGAAACTGAGGCAGGCAGAGGTTAAGTGACTTGTTCAGAGTCACAAAGCAAATTGGTGCCAGGGCCAGGACAAGAACTCATGATCTGAAGCTCCAGTTTCATCCATGTGGATGTAGACTCTCTTGACAATGTAGACAAATCATTAAGTAGTCTGTTGCTGTGGTTAAACTAAGCTCTTCCTTTCCTCACACCCAGCATCTCTGTTCTTGGCTGGTCAGGACCACCCCAGGCTGAAGCCTCCCAGGGCACCAAGGTGCCATAGTCTCCATCGGGCAGGCACAGCCTTGGAGAACCTGGATCCCCTATTGGGCAGTCTTGGAGCAAGCAATCTAAAGTAACCACCTCAAGTCACAGGGAACTTTAGAGGTCACCCAGAGGCCAAGAAGGAAACTTGGAAACCATTGAGGTTAATCCTCTCATTTTACAAGTAGGGAAACTGAGGTCAGGGGCTTTGTCCAAGATTGAACAAGGTAGAACAGAGACTGACATCTCAGACTGGACATCCCAGAGACATTTTCAGCTCACCAAAAAAAAACTCAGCGTCTTTGCCTTCATTTCTGGATTTCATAACCACGATCCTCAATCTTGGCTCTTCCATCTTGCCCTTTCGGCCTTGAGGATATCTCTCTCCCCCTCTGACCCCTTCTCTCTACTTGTTTCACTGGCTTCTCCATCCTGCACCAGCCCCCTCAACCCACTGGAATCCATCCTCCTCAGCTGCTAAAGTGATTTCCCCTAAGTGTGGATCTGACCCTATCTCCCCCTCCCCAGTAAACTCCCATGACTCCCTAGTGCCTGGAGGAGAACACAGAGATTCCATTCACATTTAAAGCCCTTCACTACCACCTTTCCAGCCAATGGACATGCTTCCCCTCCCCCATGCTGTAATTCAGCCAAGGTGGACTCTGAGCCTCACCCAACTTGGGCACCTTGGCACTGGCCTTCCCTCCTCACTTTTGCTTCACAGAATCCTTCTCTTCCTTCAAGATCCAGCTGTTTTCTGCATGAGTCCCTAACGCTGGTGCCCTTGTATGCAACTTCTTTGAATCTATTTCATATCTACTGGATATATCCAGTTGTCTCCCCCATTATAGTATAAGCTGTTTGCCAGCAGGGATTGTTTGTCCTTATATCCCCAGCACTTAGCATGGCACATAGTAGGTGCTTAATAAAAACTAGTTGTTTGATTTCTCATCTGTCTGTTATTAGCAGCCCTCTAAAGCAAGCACGGGGCATGGAGGGTCCTTATCCCCATTTTACAGATGAGGAAATGGTCTGAGAGGTTTGGTGCATTGTCAGAGGTCTTACTGCCAACCACTGGCAGAGGTGTCCAGTCTCCCAGGCCCAGGCCCACTCTCCCATGCCATGATGGAGTTGCTCAGAGTCATCTGTGACATGGGTCACCAAGCCATTGGGTTGGGGAAGGCAGCAGCTGGGGTCACAGCTTGGCTGCCTCTCCCTGGGGCAGGGGTCTCCCTCATACCTGTGTCCCACAGATGAATCGGACAGAGCTGAGGCCTGCTCCAAACTGGTCCAGGGCCTTCAGGCCAGCTTGGATCACTTCTGGGTGGCTAGAAAGTCCCAGGTAGTTATTGGCACAGAAATTCAGGATCCCTGTAGTAAAGAGGTAAGAAAATCAGAGGGTTTAGATTTTAGAGGGTCCTCAGAATAACCCTCTTATTTTACAGATGAGGAAACTGAGGCCTAGTTGGGGGAAGTGACTTTCCCAAGGTCTTATAGGTTCTAAGTATGAGAGCCTGGATTCCTCCTCAGATCTCCTGACCCTAAGGTTCAGGGCTATGGGGTATATAACTATATACCCTAAAGACATCTGGGCGGTGCAATGGACGGCACACTAGACTTAGAATCAGACAGACCTGAGTTCAAATCTGACCTCAGTCACCTACTAGCTATGAGACCTGGGCAAGTCACTCAAATCTGTAAAATGGGAATAATAGCACCTACTTCTAAGGATTGTTGGGATTTCGATATAAAATGCTTTGCAAACTTGAAAGCTCCATACAACTGTGTTATTATTATTGGATAACGCCCAAAGAATCCTCGCTCTCAGGAAGCAAAAGCCTTTTAGTGTCTTATCGAACATATACAACCTCCTCAGTGCATTCATATAGGTCAGAGGCTCTTTGGCCTAGGCCTCAGTTTCCTAATCTGCAAGACGAGATCCCTTTCAGCTCTAGAGTCATGGTTATAGTGTGGTGTGTGTGTGTGTGTGTGTGTGTGTGTGTGTGTGTGTAAGAGAGACAGACAGACACAAAGAGAAAGAGGGATTGGGAGAGGAAGAGGGACAGAGAAAGGGAGAGAGGAGCGAAGAGGGAGGGAGAGAAAGACAGATGGACAAAGAGAGATACAGAGAGAAAGAAAGAGGGATAGAGAGAGGAAGAAGGGGGAGAGACACAGAGAGAGAGGGGGAAGGGGAAAGAGAAAGAAACAGTGAGAGAAAAGAAGAGAAAGAGAGACAAAGACAGAGAGGGGAAGGGAGGGGAGAAAGAAAGAGAAAGAAAGAGAGAGAGAGAGACAGAGACCAACCTGCCTGGAGCAGCCAGGAGGGGATTAAGAAGAGGAGGGTAGCCAAAATCAACAGCAGCTTCTGAGGCCCCAGGCCCAGGAGTGGGATGCTTGGGGTGCAGATAACCCATCCCTCACTCACTGGGGCTGCTGGCCCACTTCCCTTTGCTCATTTCTTGCTAACCAAGTCTAGCCCGGTGGTATCCAACTCAAACAGAAACAGGGGCCACTAACCCAGATGGAAGGATCCCTGCAGACTCAGTCTGACTCAGAAAACCCCACACTTATATTACGCCTGTTCTAATACATTTTTATCTGTTTTGTTCAATATTCCTCAATCATGTTTTTAATCTGCTTCAGGAGGCCCCGAAGGTGGCTGGCGTTTGATATCTCCACCTTTTTTTTTTCATTGACCAACACCTCCCCCACCCCCCAATATATAAGCGAGAAGGAACTAGTGATGAGGTTCAAGGTATACCCCAAAATGTTGGGGTACAAGGCTGTCCTGAAAGAATTTGCTCAGGCTGTCTTCAAACCAAGTAAAGGCATTTATTGGGAGTAACACACAACACGCTAATCAGGCTCCCTGTCCCTTAAGGGAGACATAACTCAAGGGGGACCCCAGCTTGAGACAGCCCCTCCAAAAAGAAGAGGTGCCCAATTAAGGGGGACACCCCCTAGCCAGGAGAGGCTACGGGTTCTAATAGATTAAAAACCTGCCAAGGGTAGGGAGATGAGGTGACCGGAGACACATAGGGCAAAGGGAGTGGGGAGACAGGTAATCAGGGCCAGTAATTTCAGAGTTTGGGGTGTCATCTATTCCATTACTCACCCCTAGGGGCTGGTTAGTTTCCATATTTCCAGGCTACTTGAGTCTCCTTGTTTCTTTGAGTGGCACTAGAGATAATGGAAATCTTATCATCTCCCCTCCCCTAGAAGCAGACTCCCAAATTCATCTGGGAAAAAGGGCAAGGGTCGTGTATTCCTCAGCACTAGTCTAACCTCCTCATTTTACAGATGGGGAACAGATGGGCTCACAGAACTGAAATGACTTTTCCAAGCTCACACAGGGCCAGGGGTTAGTGTCAATACTAGAAATGGAGTTTATTCTACTTGGCTTGAAGGACACCAGTCCTTCACAGGGCACAGGAAATGTGCCGTCTCTGCCTCCAGACCCCTCCTCCCCCATTCCTAAATGTTCTGTCTCTTCTTTCTTCTCTCCCTTCCTTCAGACTCTCTGCATCCTTCAAGGCCCAGTTCAAAAGTTGCCTCTTTCAAGAAGCTTTCCCTAAAGACTCCAGTCCACACCATTTCTCCCGAAAGAGAGCTGACATCTGATACTTAGGCATACTTGAAGGGTTTGATGGGGGCCCTGCTTAATTGTACTTTGTGCTGGGCACAGTGTCAAAACAGGTTGAGGATACAACGAAAAATCAGAGGCCTCTGATCTCGAGGTGCTCACATTCGAAAGGAAGAAACAGCCCATATGTACTCAGTCCACACAAGACCATAAGCTCTAATGTTTCTGCTGCTCCTTTCTCCCCTCCATTGCAGAGCACCATGTCAGTGGTGACTCAGCGAAACACACACATTTATTAAGCACCAATTATATGCAGAGGTAAAATCCCAGCCCAATGTTCAGGAGGCATTGATCTGCCCTAGGGAATAGAGGGGATTCTGGTGGGTGGGGAACAACAGGAGGGCTAAGATGCCTGCTTCTTGAGCTTCTCCCAGCACTGGCTCTGGAGTTCAAAGCCCTGTGGTTGAATCTCAACTGCCCACTTGCTCCGTGATGAGGGGCCATTTACATAGCAGGGCTAAAACCCAAGCACAGTTCTGATAGGGCGGGGCTCCTGAGACCCCAGGGAACTTCAATGCATGCAGCAGTTATCTCTCGGTGGGCTGCTTTTATCAGCTTTTACCATCTAGCAGACAGTCTTTCCCTGGGGGGTTACTGAATATATTTTTATTAAAGAAATTCCCAGTCTTAGTCCTGAGGTTTTGAGGGGCCCATTGCTCTAGCTTAGGGAAGGCAGGAATGACTATAGCAGGAGGAAGCTGTGATAAACACCCTAAGTCATGTGAATGGAAACGGAGGTGAAATCATGGGAAGGAGAGAACTCCCAGGGAGTTAAAGAATCAGGGAAGGTTTCCTGGAAGTGTTATTTAAGGTAAAGGAGGGCAGGATTTCAAATGGTGGCCCTGGGAAGGTAGACCAAGGTAAGGGAACAGAACAGATGTTGTGGGCCAAGATACAAGTGGGACTAGGGAGGCTTGATTTAACACTTAGGCACCGTTAACTCTTACATTCCCACAACATCAACCTATACTCTAGGGAGCCATTCTAGGGAGTTGAGATGCAGGCCTGGGGCAGTTTGGGTTAACTTTGCCCCTGGGGGATGGATCTGGGGCCCACCTCTGGGGCTGTCAGGGCAAGATGAATAGAAAAGGGGTTCTCTGAATACTGAGCCCCAGAGTGTGGAAAGGGAGGGTCCCGAAGGAATCTCCAGCTTGATTTCGTTAACTTCCTCACAGAGGCATGGACTTTTTTTTGGAATGCTTTTATCTATCCTTGGAGCTGCTTTTACCTGGATCTACAGCAATGTGTTTTGAGGAAACAGATTGCTTTTTTGAAACCTAGGCCTCTGAGTGACCCAAAGCATCAGAACTAGGTCAGCAAACCAAGGTGGGAAGGTAGGAAGGAATGGGACTGAACTGGGAGCTCAGAGCTGGCAAACAGGCTCACAGGATAAGCTGGGCCAGCTCTTGAAGAAAGCTCGTCTAGCCTGCTTGTAAACACGGTATTAGAAAGGGCTAGTGGGACACTGCAGGACCACAGAATCCCAGAGATAGACGTGCAACAGATGAAGATACAGAAGCCTAGAGTAAGCAGGAGACTTGGGCCTAAGGTCAGGAAAGCAGTGAGGATCTAAGCCCGGGTCCTCGGACTCCAAATCAGTGTTCTGACCTATATTTCTCTCAGAAAGAACCTCCTTGTTTTCCCACCACCCCCTGCGCCAGTCCTTCACCCAAGACAGCAGCTCAGAGGCCTCCACTCCATCTGCCCTATCGATTCCATTAGCTGGTTGGGGAGCAAGGAAGCTCAAAGTAAGAAAGAGAAGGCCACCAGCTGAAGCCAACAGTTTCTAAGGCCTTGGACTGTTAGATGAAGGCTGAGAGCTGCCCCAGGATAAAGACCTCCTACTTTAGAGACCCACTCCAAAGTAAAATCCATCCTCTACAGCCATTGTGAAACTGGAAACCACTGTAAGTTCCCAGTGGTTCATTTCTTTCTAACCTTGATCTCATCTTTCTAGCCTTGACTCACAGAGGCCACAGGGGGCTTTTGAGATCATCTAGTTCAAGCTCTGTACCAGGTGATTTGTTATAAACTCATCATCCATTTTCTCCTTCTGGCTGGGTGAGCTGTAGAATACTCCTACATTACTTCTATGTCTCTGTCAATCCTCACTCCTTCTCTGGTTGGTGAAATATATGTATGTTCTTAATATACAAGGTGACACTATTGTCCCTTTTATTTAATCAGTTCTTTTCCAATTAGATGACCCTTTCTGTAGCCAGATCCTGTCATGAGGTACCTCTCAGTAAGTGTCAGCCCCTCTCAGACCTGGCGAATGCTTAGGTCTTGCTATCACTTCCAAGTTTCTGAACCCTCCCATTCTTTTCTCTGACCACGAGCCTTTCTCATTCCAGCATTCCCTCTCTCCGCCCTATGTTCTCGAACTTTCCTAGCTATTAGCCATTCTTGTACATATGTGTGTAGGAACTGAGACCATGGATTCTATTCCTGCCCCTTGAATTTGCCGCAGGATCCTGGGAAATTCCAGTCTTCTACACTGTTAACTTTCTTTCCAAGTTTCACCTGCTACACTCTATAGTATCTATTGGGCTCTGTGGGTAGATGGTGGAGTAAGATCAGAGAAGGCTTGAAATGCTTAGCAGCCTTTACAGGCATCAGGAGGCCATGGAAGGCTTCATGAGGAAGAAAGCGATATAATCAGGATTTCGAATTACGAAGCTGACCTGTGAGAGCTATGCGGAGGCAGAGCCAGGAGGCAGTAAGAAGGCATAGCAATGCAGGAGGCTTCTCTCAGGAGATCTCCGTCTGTCCCCCACTCCCACCTCCTCCTTCCAGCCAGGCTTCACAAATTCAGACCTGGTCCTCATGGGTGTCCCTGCACCTGGCCTCTTCAGCAGCTGCCTCATAGCTTTCAGCGGGAACAGGCTGTCCACCCCGCCCGTGAAATCGGGTTAAATGAACAGGCCTCCTTTGGGGGAAGTGGTCACAAAGGAGCAGCCAGGTGTGTGGATGGTACGTACATACATATTCGTCTCCCAACCCTCAGCTACTTTCAGGAGTCTAGCTCAACTGCCAGCAATTTTCTTGGGAGGAAAGGGGATATTGGTGGGGGCCATGCTCAAAGGAGCCGGTCCTGGGACATCGCCCTAAGCTGGACAACCTTGCGATCCTCCGGTTGGGGAATCCGAAGTGCTTGCCTTCGGGGCTGGGGCTGGGGCTGAGCTAGGGGCAGGGGCAGGAGCATCCCTCCCAGTCCCCCCTCTTCCTCCCCCTCCGTCCAGGTCAGGGCTGGCCTTACCTCCCGGGCTGCCCTCCACGCTAATGTGGGGCCCCTGCTTGGAGGTGATGATTCTCTCGCTCTTCCACGTGCCCGCCCCCCGGATCGCGTCCAGCTGGCTCTCCAGGATGTCCGTGAGCTGAGCCAGGGCCGACTGCGCCCGGCGGCCTCCCCCTCCCGGAGCCACAGGGCGGGCCCGGGCTAGGGGCGAGCTCAGTAGGCGGCCACACCACATCACAGTCAGTTACACCTGAAATGGACTGAGGCCGGAGAGACCTCCCTTTAGGCTCGGGGCTGTGCTCACGCTCACCGAAGCCGCATCTAAAGGCTCATGTGTCGGGAGGCAAGGGGCTCCGCGCAGCCAATGGGGAAGCCGGGAGCCAAGCTGGGCGGTCTGCAAGCAAGGTTCATTTAAAGGGGCGGAGGAGGGCGGTGGGGATCAACTCAGAGTCCAACCCATCCTTTTCTCCACCCCCCATCCATGTCCCCTCTGTTCGCTTACCCCGGCACCGCCACCTTTGTCCACGTCGCCACCAGCTGAAAACCTTCCTATCCTTTAAGGCCCACTTTGGAGATGAGGAGGCCAGATCGCGCAGGTAGCAACAGGAAGCATTTTCGGAGAACCTATTCAGTGCCAATCAGCCAATCACCGAACTTCTACTGAGACACTGAGAAGGGAGCCTGGGTCTCGGAGCCAAGAAGACCTGGGTTCAAATCTCACCCTCGACATTTACTGGCGTGTAACTCTAGGCAAATCACAACCCCTCAGTGTCCCAAGCCAGCTGTCTAAAGATATAAATCGTTCAGAAGGTGCCGGCTGCTTTGATAAAGGGAGTTGCCTCACCTGGGAGTTCCCTAATACAATGAAATCATGGATCCAGGCCCCGTCCCTATTCCTTAGTGACCAGGCTGGGGGCTAGTCGTTGAAGAAAGATAAGAAGATAAATCTTTCCCTCAAGGAGCTGGGGGAGGGGCGGCGAGGGGGGGAAGGGGAGGCAAACAAGTGGTGCAAGTAAGTAGCAAAGATTCAAAACTGGCCCTCAGACATCAATCAAAAGTCAGTAAACATTTATTAAGCTCCTACTGAGGGATGCAAAGAAAGACAGCAGTCTGCCCTGAAGGAGACCACAGTCTAATTGTGCTCTCTCCAATATCCCTTGTCATACCTGCCTCAGACACCTACTAGCTTTATTACCCTAGGCAAGCCACTTAACCTCTATTGGCCTCAGTTTCCTCATCTGTAAAATGAGGATAATAATAGTACCTACCTCCCATATGTATGTATATATATAGTGCTTGGCACATATTAAGCACTACAAAAAAACTTCAGCTATTATTTCAAAACCGCATAAGTGAGCAGGACATGCCAAGCTGACTTGGTGGTGGTGGTGGTGTTGGTGTGTGAGTGTGTGTGTGCTCCAGCATGCTCGAGCTGGGGCTACAGAGGGCACTGAGGACTCCCCAGTCTGGAGCTGGGGGGGGTAGACAAAAGACTGCCGGATTTGGAGTCCAAAGATGTGGCCTTCAGCCTCAGCTGGGCTGCTTACGAGCTGCCATCTTGTTCCTCTGCGGGGTTGGTCCCTCACCTGTATGATGTAAGGGTTGGTTTAGGCTAGAGACTCTAAATGCTCTCTTAGGGTCTAGGCCTACTCTAAATTCTAGAAGCCGAAGGAATCATTGGGGCCAGCTTGCTCCAGAAGGTGGGATTTGCACTGGGCCTCGGATGGGGAGGGCCTCAAAGGAAGGGGGGTGGGACAGGATCCTGGGAGGCAGGGAATTTATCGTGTTCACCACCCAACCCAGCACTTTCTGCCCACTTTACCACCCACTGGAGCATAAGGGTCACCCTATAGCCCACCCACCACCTAGCCCCGGAAGGGAGGTGGACCCTCGAAAAGAGTAAGAGGGGCCGGGGGCTTTCTCCAGGAACGACTAGAGAAGACCTTGTGGAGTGAACCAGAGGCCAAGGGTAGTGCCCCCGGCCCAAGCCGCGTTTGGCTCCTCCCAGCCTTGGGATGGCAGTAGAAATGGGCAAGAAACGAGGGCCCATGCCCCGCATTCGGGCAGGGAGGGGCACCCTTTACTTATAACACCCCGAATGCTGGCATCTCACTCTTGAAGGCTTTTAGCCCTCACCCCGCCCCCAGCCCCATACCTCATTCCTATTCCCCTTTACTTACCGGATGCTCAGCCCCTCCCCATCCTGGCCACGCAGCCCCTGCATGAGAAGCTTACACACCATCCCACTCCGCTTCTTCCTTCCCAGACCTTTTGGGACCTAAGGTGCCCAAGACCCCAAATCACCCCCTTCCCCCTTCCCAGACTGTATAGTGTTCTCCCTCCAAGATTTCCTCCTTTTTGCTCCCCCCCTCCCATATTTCCCAAACCTACCGCAGACGGCGGCGGGGGGGGGGTGGGGGAGGAGAGGAAAAGGCCTCAGAAGCTGCATAAAGGCATTAGTTTGGGGGTGGGTTTTTTTGGTCCTTTTTCAATTTTATTTCAAACTCTAAAATTACAAAGACAGCAATAATTACACTCAAAATAAAATACAATGCAAATGAAAGAAGGGCGCAGGCATCAATCCTACCAGTTTTCCTCGGTACTTAGAAAGAAACGTACATACTAATTGCCCTACGGCGGGGACAGCACCAAGCAAACTTAAGCAATGACTAGGTACAGATCCAGCTCTGTGAAAACTACGTGAGCAAATTCAAAATTGACTGCATGATGTCTTTCTCCGCTCCTTTCCCCCCCTCCCCACCCGCTCCCTCCCAGTTCCCTACACCTAATCTACGACTACAACTACCCAGAAAAAAAAGAGTCCCAAGAGGTTGGGTTTTTCTATGGTAGACACGTGGCTCATTAGACAAAAGCTGGGGCTCAGAAAGGCGACCCCAGAGGAGGAGAGCTAGATCGGAGGGCGCGGGTTAGAGGGAGAGCCTGTCTGAGCCCACTCTTGCCGGAAAATCGCCATTCTGCGCTATTCAGCAAAGTCAGGGCTCAGGGCCGGCCGCTCCTCCACTCCCGGGCCAACCAGCCTACTCTTCAGAGCAAGGGAAAAAGAAAATGGCAAGAAAATGCTTTTAAAAAATAACCACCCAACCCTTAGGAATAAACAAAGCTATCACAACGATGCAGACACACACAAGCATAAACCTTAAACAGGGTAAAATCAGGCACTTTTGTCAGACTCTTTCCCCCTTGCCTCTTTCAGACAAAGTTCCCACCCCAGCCTAAGACCCTCCCAGCAGTTAGGAGACAATACACCCTTTCCCATCCACAAAGGAACATTCTCCCCAAAAAGATGGCTAATATTGCAGCTTCTTTCTCTCCATGCCGTTCCACTAGGCTGCTTTCTTGCTCCGTTTGGGAACTAAATGACGATTAACAACTGAAATCCAATCGCGAGCTCAGGAGAATCTTTCAGGTTGCCTCAACATCCAGTCGTGTACTTTGGGAAGGTACTCTATCTAAGAGGAGTGTCCTTTTCTGCCATAAGCCTCCTCCTAGTCCCTGCAAGCTTTGTCCCCCTCAGAGGGGCCCCAGACCCTGCCTTTGGAGTCCTGTCCAATGGCTGTGACTAGAGAGAAAACATACCTAAGTTCTGTCCCTTTCTTCTGGGTGGGATGAGCAGTCTCCTTTCCTCTGTTCACCTTCCCCCCCCAACACCCCCCAATTCCCCCACACCCCGCAAAAAGTACTTTATACAAAATAACCTCCCCCAACTTAAAATCCATTACATCAGAAAGATCTTAAAAAACAAGTTAACAAAACAAAAATTAAGGACAGTCTCATGATTACGGAGATTGGCTGTTCGGACTGTTCCTGGCTGATTGGTTGAGAATATATGAATTATTTAACAATTTCCGAGGAGTAAAAGTTCTGTCTCTTATAAAGTCGCAATAGAAAGGGGATCAAGGTTAAGGGATAGGGATAGGGCGGGGAAAAAAAGGAGAAAACTATTTACAGAGGAAGCATCAGAAAGTGTCCAGAAGGACTTCGCGTTCACTTCTTCTTGGCGGATTTCTTGGTGCTGGACTTGGCTTTGGGCTTCGACGGCTTGGCTTTCTTGGGCTTCGATGCCTTCACGGGTTTAGCTTTGACAGTTTTGGGCTTTTTGGCTTTCTTCGGGGTGGCCGCAGCTTTCTTCTTCACTTTCTTGGCCGCGGCTTTGGGCTTCTTAGCTGGAGCCTTTGTGGTGGCAGCCTTCTTGGGCTTGGACGCCCTCCTGGGGGTCGCCGCCTTCCTGACTTCCTTCTTAGCCTTCTTGACCGCCGGTTTCTTGGGCTCATCGCCCTTGGCTAACCGGAAGGAGCCCGAGGCACCCACCCCTTTGGTCTGCTTGAGGACCCCATTGGTGACCAGCCTTTTGATGGACAACTTGATCTGCGAGTCCGCATTCTCTCCCACTTTGTAGTGGTTCTTAATGTACTTCTGGATGGACTGGCGGGAGGAACCGGCCCGGTTCTTCTCTGCCTGGATGGCCGCCACGATCATGTCTGAGTACTTTGGGTGGTCCGTGGACTTCTTTGAGGCCTTCGCCTTCTTGGGCTTGGAAGCTGGGGCCGAGTTTTCCGTCATGCTGAGGGCTTGCTTAATCTCTCCTCTTAGTGTCCCTGGTCACCCTTGGGGAGACAAGTCCTCCCTTGGATGGAGAAACACGCCCCGCTAGGGAGCACAGGGGTAGGCGACTGGGAGGGGGGCACCAGGAGTGGCCCCAAAGCGCTGGCTCTGCCGCCTCTTTTTTGGGGGGCTCAGCTCCCAGACAGGACTGGGAAGTCTGCAAAAACGCTGCCCCCAAGGAGGCCTTGGAGTCCTCCGCCTCTCACTGCCTTCCTAAAGGAAGCTAGGTGAGCCGGAGCGGAGGGTCTCTCGCGTGCCCCCGCACTGTCGCTGCTTCTCCGCAGGGCTCGGGGGTCCGGGGGCGCCGGGCTACGGCCTGGGCCCGGCCCCCCTGGCTGCGTGTGACGGCGGGTCGGTGTGCCCGGGACTGGCTCGGCCTTTGGTGCGCCCAGCTCCGGCTCAGGCTTGGGCTCCGGCGGCCGCTTTCGCCTGGCTCCGCTCGCTCCGCTGCTCTCAGCCGCTCCCCAGCTCGGCGTCTGGCTCTCTCAGGCGGCCGCCGGCGCATCCGGGTATTTAGCGGCAGCGGGCGGACCGCGGTGAGGACTGGGCTGCTGGCTGCCTGCTCCGGGCCGGGAATGGCGCCGCGCCGCCGCCATCTGTGTTTCTTCCGCTGCCCAAACCGGCCCTTTCCCCGCGGCCCCGGCCGCCCCGGGCCCCGCCGGCGGCCCGCGCCGCTGCCCGGCTCCCGGGACTCCCTGGCAGCGCTGCCCGAGACCCCCGGCGCCGTCCCCCGCGCCCGCGGGCCGCCCCAAACGGCGCCGGGTGCAGCCGCGCCGCCGCCACATTTCTCTTTTGCGGGGCCCGGGGTCGGCGGCGCGGGGGCGCGGGGGCGCGGGGCCGTCCCCTACGCCTAGGGCCAGGCCTGGGCCAGCGGCCGGACCCGGTCCCAGCGCGTGGCGGCCCCCCTCTGCGCGTCCGCGCGCCCGGGAACGACCCCAACTAACACACGGAGCCCCGCGCCGGCGGCGCCCGGCGTGGCCCGGCGGGCCGGGGGCGGGGGAGGGGGCTCCGCCCGGGGCGGGGGCGGGGGGCCCGAGACCCTCCGTGACGTCGGGCCCGGGGACCCCTGCGGGTTTCCCTCGCCCAGGCTCGAGGGGGCTCTGGGGCTGCCCCCTTCCCCCCTGTCCAGTCACAGACAGCTCCATGCATCCCCCCCTGATCTGGAAAGCTCCCCCAGAGCTCTGGGTGGGTGAGGGGGAGACCCTCACCTTGAAACCTACGTGTCTGCCCTCTTCGGGGGCCCCCACTAACCTCCCAAGTTCAGGGTCAAGGGGGCTCTCAGGCTGGCCCCTTTCCCCCACACCCAGCCACCACCAGCCCCAAGTTTTTCCCCTAGTTCTAGAAAGTGCCCCTTGATGACTGCCTAAGTGGATCCCCTCCCTCTTGGACCCCTTCGCCTTATCCCCTTGGAGACCCCGGTGACTGTTCTCCCTAGGAGGACCTCCTGACTTCCCCAGTTCAGTCCAGAAGGGGCTCTAAATCTCCCCTTTCTCCCCCACACCCAGTCACCTACAGCACCATGTGTATCCTCCTATGCCCCCACTTGGAAAATGCCCCTCAAACTCCAGTGTTGAGGGGGATTTTCTCCCCTGCAAAGCCAAGTATGACCTGTCTGTCCCCTGGTGGACCCCCGCTTGGTTCCCTGGATTCAAGCCAGTTAAGGGGGCCCTCTGGCTGTCCCCTCCCCCACAGATTCATCCAACGGTATCGAATCGATTTCCTCCCATCACTTCCCAGCTAGACCTATAAAGTGCCTCTGCCACAGGGGGCCAGAACCCCCACATCACTGGACGGGTCCCAGAGATTCCTGGGCTGCTAGGAGTGGCACCTGGCTTTCTTGGCTTTTGGAGGGACTTCACTTTTCGCTTCCTACTCTCAATCCACCATCAATCCCTGTTTCAAACAGACCTTAAACAGCCTCGCTCCCCATCTGAAAAGTGGTCCTGGACCCTTGACTGGGGGGGGGGGAAGTCCTATATAGATCCGAGTGTGTTTGGAGCAGGGACCCCTTCAGCGGAGGACTTCCCAGGCTCCCTACATACCACATTCTCTTTGCCCTCAGCATCCTTCAAGTAAACCCAGCCTGCCAGAGAGAATTGGGGAGGGGGTGTTATAGATTCCCATCATGTCCGTACCCCAAACCCTCCTAAAGGTAAGTGTCTCAGCCAGGGAGTTTAGAGGGGTCCAGATATCTGCCATCACTCGAACCCTCTGTCATCCTGATCCGAGGGTCAGCGCCTCCTCCCTCCCCCAGCCAAAGCTACAATATTTATCTAGGGAGGTGGGGAGGGGGCGCAGGCAGGGATGCTGCATCTTTGTCTCCACTCCCAAAGCAGCCTCTGACCTTGCCCCTGCCCTTAGCATCCTAACCATAAAGCCATTGTCTGGTCCGAGGGCATGGAGGGCGGTATAGACAAATACCCACACCTTGAACCTGGGGCCGGCCAGCCCTTAGGCTTCCAGCCAGTCCTAATAGAATAATCCTGTGTCTTGCCAGGAAGTTTGTGAGGGTTGGGGGAGGGGGCCCTAGGAACGGCTCCCCAAAAGCCAGCAGCCCTCTCCAGGTATTTGGGGGCCGGTACGGATTGACCTAGGGAGCCCCCTCCTCATAGAAAGCCTCCCTTGAGATGTCCAATAGGCTGTTAGTTTTCTTCCTTAGGGATTTTTTTTTTTGGCTGGGGGGATTGGGCAGTGGGAGGACTCCGCGTCCAGGAGTCCGAGCTTCCCGGGTCTGGAAAAGGGAGGGCTGCAGCAGGGGTCTTGAGGGTGGGGACTCAGGAAAGGGGGGTCTTGGATCTGCCCTGAGAAGCTGAGAAACTTTCACTGGCCAGACAGTGAGTGCTTGCATGCAGCACAGTCCTATCGCCATCTTGCCGGGAGGATTTTCCAAAATGTATATTCCTCTTTGTGCTCCCCTGCCCGGCCAAGCAGGGAATGAGAGGGAACCTCTTGAGGGGGACAGCTGCCGGGGGCCCAGGCTCTACGGGGGTGGCCGGAGCACAGCCTCTAGTGTGGCCAACCTTGGGGTCTGGGGATGCCCACCTCTCAGATCCCTGGGTGCCCACGCACCAGAAATGCCCTGCCCGCCCTCTCCTCCAGACTTAGCTCCTTTTCGGCTTTCTCTACTCTCTCTCCCGGCACCCCCACCCCACTTATCTTTTAACCCCCTAATCGAGAAGTCAGAAACTTCTCAAAGAAAGATAAACTGTAAGAGATCTTTTAATAAGAGGCTGTAAATCATTAACATGTGTCCTTGGACGCTTGGGGGCTGTTGACCCACACAGCATCGCCTATCCGGGCCGAGAAGTGGGAAGGTAGGGGAAGGGGGAACCTTTGGATGGGGGGAGGGGTGGCTTTTAACCCCGAGAGCAAAGGGCTCCCATACGTCTCCCATAGGTTAGGGAATTTTGGGTCCCGGCTACTGTCCCAGGGTTTTCAAAGGAACCACGCCCCAACCTCTTCAGTGGAGGAAAGTTACCGGGGTTATTTGTCAGCCCCTCACCAGCCCCTCCCTGATCTGGACCGTGATTGCTGGGCGGGGCGGGGGGGGGAGCGGAGCGGGTTAAGGGCGGACGTGAGACACTCGGGACTGGAGTTCAGAAACTTTTCGGCTTTATCACTGAGGCACAGAGCTTGGGGGTGGGGGGACGAGAGGGGATGGGGGAAGGGCAAGGGAAGGTCTAGAAGGGAGAAGGAGGGGAAGGCGAGGAGGTGGGCCCACCAAGTGCTGTTTTTATTTTCTTGTTTACATATTAACCTAAAACAAACTGATTTAGCTAACGTGCAGTGTGCTGCTATATTAAATTCCAATTCGGATTTGATTGTTTACGCAGGGTTGTCCAATTCTAGCCCGCCTTAACAGCTCCAGATCCGATCCAGTCTCCTAGCCTTTGCCTAGGTTGGTCCCCATGCCTGGGATGTCTTCCTTTCTCGGTTTCTAGCTCCCTTCAGGTGGAACTCAGCCTCTTTTCCAGGCTTAGCTTTTCCTATGGAAGTAGGAGGAGTTAAGTACTATGTAAGGAGCAGCGCCTATGTAAGGCCTTTCCTAGGCTCTCCCAGTTAGAGCCTTACCTGACAGCGTTTTGCTTTTATTTCTCTTTTACTTTGCTTTTGCTCTAGGCCTCATCATTTCATCACCTCTCCTAATTGGTTCATCACGTCCCTCTTCAGTTCGTCCTCCACACGACTGGCAAAATGATTTAGCGTCTCAAGGCGACTCTCCTCAGCTCAATAAACTCCTTAGCTCCCCTTCACTACCTAGCTGCCCTCATACCGAACTGGCACACAAAAGGCTTTTAATAAAAGCTTACTGATTGATTATTTATGTACCTGTCATTTCTCCCCCCAGAGAGGGGGGAGAGTAAGGACTATTTTAAAATGTTTGTCTTGGAGCCCGGAGCCCAGCTAATTGTTAATATTGTTAGTATATGTAGGCGCTTAGCAGTGAAGTGTATGAGACACTGGGCCTGTGGTCAGGAAGACCTCAGCTGAAATCCCGATTCAGACCCTCATTAGCTGTGTGACCCTGGGCAAGTCACTTAACCCTATTTTGCCTCAGTTTCCTCATCTGTAAAATGAGCCAGAATAGGAAATGACAAACCACTCCAGTGTCTATGCCAAGAAAATTCATAATTGGGTCAGAAAGAGTCAGACTTGACTGAACAACACTTAACTGTTTGTAGACGGCGGTACTGGACAATCTTCTACCAACTAAATTTCAGCTCTTCTCCCTACCCTCAACTCCACCAAAATAAACAGGTTCCTTGAGTTGGGGTGAGCATCTTGACGTCAGGAGTAATAGATTAATTATGTAGTTATAATAATGACAAAAAGAAGAAGAAGGAGGAGGAGGACTTTAGGTGTGTCTCTTCTCTCCTGGGCCTCAGTTTCCTCATATAGAGAATGAGAAGACTGGACTAAATTAGGGGTTCTTAACCTTTTGTGCCAGGGACCCCTTGTGGAGTCTAGTGAAACTCAGAATTATGTCTGTCTTTTAGAGGAAATTAATTCTATGGCCATAGTTATCAAAATATTAAAAAAATAAAAAGTTCACAAACACCAAGCTAAGAAGCCCTGTACTAAATGAGCTTACGTGTCCTTCCCAGCTTCAAAATCCTAAGATCTTATGACCGTGTTTGAGTCCCCAAGCTCGGCCACTAATTCATTATGTCCCTGCATGGCCCAGGGTCACTTACCTCTGCTCTCTGGGTCTCAGTTTCCTTCTTTGTAAAATGAAGAGGTTGAGCTGGATGATTTTCAGGTCCCTTCCAGCCATGCCATGAAGTGGTTTGGTGATGTTACTATTGTCATTCAGGGAATAATAATCATAGCTAGCATTTACAAAGTGATTTAAGGCTGGCAAAGTGCTTACAAATACAATCTCCAAAAATGCCCTCTACAGAACGGAAGAACTGAGTGCAGATTGAGGTAGAATTTCTCTTTCTTTCTTTTTTGGCTTTCTTTCTTTCCTTTCTTTCTTGGCAATATGGCTAATATGGAAATGTTTCGCATGATTTCATATGCGTAACCAATATTTTGCTTGCCTTTTTGGTTGGGGAGGGGGGAGAATTTGGAACTCAAAATTTAAAAAGAAAATAATGTTAGGAATTGAAAACAAATATTATCTCATTTGACCTAAAAACCAATCTGAGAGGGAGGTGCTATCATGTCCCCATTATATAGCAGAGGAAACTGAGGTTGAGATGTTAGGTGACTTGCCCAGGGTGACACAGCTAGGATGTGAGTTCAGGTCTACCTGATTCCAAGTCCAGCACTCCATCTACCAAACCACATAGTTGCCTCTAATAGCAAACAATCAATATTTATTAAGCATCTACTGTTTGTCAGACACTGTCACCTCGTGTGGTGTTTTCTTGGCAAAGATGCTGGAGTGGTTTGTAATTTCTTCTCTAGCTCATTTTACAGGTGAGGAAACTGAGGCAGACAGGGTTAAGTGACTTGCCCAGGGCCACACAACTCTGAAGTGTCTGAGGCTGGATTTGAACTCATGAAGAGAAGGTTTTCTGACTCCAGGCTTGGTACTCTATCCACTGTACCACCTAGTGGCCCTGGGGATATAAAAAAAGGTAAAACAAAGTCCTTGCTTTCAAAAGAGTTTAAAATGTAACAGGGGAACAGCAAACCAACAGCTAGGTACAGACAAACACAGAGGATAAATGGCCAGTGATTAAGAGAAAGAAGGCGCTGGAATGAAGAGGCTGGAGAAGGCTTCCTGTGGAAAATGGAGTTTTCGTTGGGACTTAGAGGAAACCAGAGAGGTGGCTGGAGCAGAGGAAGGAGAACGTTCCTGGCCAAGGGGACAGCCGGAGAGAATGTCCAGAGGTGAGAGGGGGGGGTCTCGTTGGTGACCCGGCCACAGGAGACCAGTGTCGCTGAACTGAAGGAGTGTTGGGGAGTGAGGCATAAGAGGCCTGGAGAGGTGGCTAGGGGCTGGGTTATCAAGGGCTTCAAATGCCAAGCAGCATTTTGCGTTGGCTCCTCGAGGCCACAGGAAGCCACTGAAATTTACTAAGTGGATGGGGGTGGCATGACTTGGTTAGACCTTCACTTTTTATTTCATTTTATTTTATTTTGTTGCACGTGAAACTACAAATCTGTTCTATACAGTTTGCTTTTCCTTTTACATATGTAATAAAGTTATCATGTACATTTCTTTTTTCCTCCCCCCCATGGCTACTACTAGACACACAAATATGTGTGTATACACACATATATGTAAATCCATACTCTACTTACTTCTATTCATCAATTCTTTCTCTGGATGCAGATAGCATCTTTATTGATATGTCCTTTATAGTTAATTTGAGTATTTATAATAGTCAAAATGACTTATCCACTCGGAGTCATTCTTAAAACAAGGTTGCTGTGACTGTATACAACATTCTCTTGGTTCAGCTTGTTTTGTACAAGTCTTTCCATGCTTCTCCAAAATCCTTGAGCTCACCATTTCTAACAGCACAGTAGTATTCTGTCATGACCATCTGCCACTTGTTCAGCCATTCCGAAATTGATGGGCAGTCCTGAAATTTCCAGTTCTTTGCCCACCACGATGAGAGCTGCTGTAAATATTTTAGAACACATAGATTCTTTTCCTTTTTCCTCGATCATCTTGGGGAGCAGACCTAATAGCACTGTTGCTGGGTTAGGCCTTCACTTCAAGAAAATCATTTTAATGGCTGAATAGAGGCTGGATTGGAGTAGGGGGAGACTTGATTTGAGGCTGGCAGGCCAGCCTCCCAGCAGATTATTGCAATAGTTTGGGCTCATGGAGATGCAGGCCTGCATCAGGGTGGGGGCAGTGTTAGAGGAGAGAAGGGGCTGTATGCAAGAGACGGTCTGAAGGTGAACTCAACAGGCCCTGGCACCATATTGGATCTAGGGAATGAAGAGTGCAGGATGACTCCCAGGCTATGAGTCTGAGGAACTGGGAGGATGGTGGTACCCTTAACAATAATAGGGAAGGTAGGAGGGGAGGGTTGAGGGGGAAAGAGAATGAGTTCCATTTTGGACAGGTTGAGTTTAAGATGTCTATTGGACACCCAGTTTGAGATGTCTGAAAGGCAGTTGGAGATCAGCAAAGAGGTTGGGGCAGGACAGATGGATTTGAAAATCATCAGTACAGAGATGGTACTTAAATCCATGGGAGCTGAGATCTCCAAGAGAGAGGAGATGAGGGCCCAGGACAGAACCCTGTGGGACACCTGTGCTCTGGAAGAGGATGCAGTGAAGGAGGTGGAGAAGAATCAGTCTAAGAATCCTCTAAAGGAAGAGGAAGATCAGGAGAGAGGCGTGGCACAAAACCCCAAAGACAAGAGAATAATACCAAGCAGAAGAGGGTGATCAATAGTGTCAAAGACTGCAGAGAGATCGGGGAGAATGAGAATTGAGAAAAAGTCATTGGATTTGATCACTGGTCACTCTGGAGAGAGCAGTTTCTGTGGAATGATAAGGTCAGAAGCCAAACTGCAAGAGGTTAAGAGAGAATCAGAGAGAAGTGGAGGCACCTGGTGTAGGCAGTCTTTTCAAGGACTTTAGCCACAATGGGCAGAAGAGACATAAGAGGGTAGTTAGTGGGGATAGAAGGATAGAGTAAAGGCGTTTTCCGTAATGGGGAGACATGAGCATGTTTGTAGATGTTAGGAAATGAGCTTGCGGGAGAGGGAGAGGAAGCAGAAGGGTGGGGATGACAGAGGGGGAGATCTATTGGAATGGGATGATGACTTGGAAGGTGTGTTTGGAAACCTACCTTTGGCACTTTTTGGCTTTGTGAGTTTCATTTTCATCATTAATAAAATGGGAATGAAAATATCCCCTCCCTCACTGAGATGTGAGGATCTAATCAGGTGATGGGTATAGTGCCCTTGGTAAACTCTGTGTCAGAGATGGTTATGATTTGGATGGACAGAGTGGGGGTGAATCCCAAGGACTGGACACAGTCAGAAGGCCACTAACTAGTTAGTTCCTGTTTACCTTCCCTCCTCTCCACCCGTATCCCTACAAAATGAGAGGTCTGGCCCGCCTTCGCTTGGGATTCCGAACACTTCACATGGAACTTTGAGGTAGCTCACTCTCAGGAATACAACCGATTGTCTCCCACTGGCCTATAGCCCCCTCCAGCCATAGTAGTGCTGTGCAGATTTTGTTGGTTCAACTCCAAGTCCAACGAGAGCAAACTGCCCCTTTTAAAGATTCAGAGCCCTTTAAAATGTCCTAGGACAGACCAGCTACTACTCATACTCCTCATGGGAAATGTAGTACTCATGGTACTGAGCCAAAGTCAGAGCACTGGCCTCCACATATCTCTTCTGAGACTGGGAGGAGCTGGGGGCCACAGGGCAGGCTAATACTCAGTGTAGAAACTTGGGCATTAAGGATTAATAAGGGGTTCAGGTGTCAGGGAGATGATCCCAGCTCAGAGCTGATGAGGGAAGTGTTTTATTAGGGGATGTGCTAAGAGAAGAAGGAGGAGATGGGATTGTGCCAAGGCTGGCAGGCGTAGCAGCCAACATTTCTATAATTCGCTTGCTCACTTGATTCTTACAACAAGCTGTGAGGTAGCTACTGTAGGCATTATTAGCCTGATGTGACAAGTCCACAAAAGTTAAGTCATTTGTTCATGGTTGTACAGATAGTAAATGTGAGAGGTGAGATTTGAACCTAGGGCTCTCCTAACTCCAAAATTCAGAGTTCTTTCCTCCTGATCTGCCCTAGACAATAACGTCTAGCTTTTTTTTTCTTTCAAGCATTAGCTCCTTCC